CCTGGTTAGTACATTTTAATATTAGCATGAACTTCAGAGGTGCTGGTGTTAAAACAACAAAATTCAACCTGGTGAATATTGGTGTGTGTATTTTTTTTTTTTTTTTAATTTAAATTTGACAACCGTACTTGCCAAAAATGGCTTGTACACATGTTAAAACAGATATCTGCACACTCCTTATTTACATCAGGGCTTCCCAAACTTTTCCATTCCATTAGTATGACCTTCTGACCAGCCCACTCCCTCCTCTCCCCCCCACCCTCCCTTTGCAAAGCTACCACCAATGCTACAAAATCTGTAAAGAAAAATCAGTGTTTAGAAGGCTTTTTTTTTTTAATTTTATTGACTATTCAATAGTTCTTAAAATTTGTTTGGTAAAAGAGGATAATTAACAAACGCGCGCTCAGCTAGCTACGCGCTAGGAGCTTGACAACAGATGCAAACGAACAGGTCTACTCAGATTAGGACGTCGTCGTGCTGAAGTCGCAGCACTCACACGGGGTGCGTTCAGGTACCGTTGAAAAAAATCTGACGGTTACAGCAGTGTACGTGAGTCGCAGCAGTCACACGGGGTGCGTTCAGGTACCGTTGAAAAAACTTGAACAGCTGACGGTTATAGCAGTTTACGTGTTGTACGGTCCAGGACGAATGGAAAATAAAAAATAAATTAATAAAAATATATATATATATATATTAGTATTTTTATATATATATTAATACCAAGTATTAACACATGAACTGGTCCGAACCAGAACTCCAGTCACTCCGTCCTCTCTGCTCCCTCAGGTGCTGCACTGCTGTGTCTCTGGTTCCACGCTGCACACCCAGCAGAGCCACTACCTCCTCACCTTGTCCGACCTGTCGTCCGACTACGACCTCATGTTGGGTCAGGTTAAAAATTGCGCCCCGCCGCTGTCCCAGTCGACTGCTACGGACTTTGGTAACCTGCTCACTGTAGCTGAAGGTAAGGAACTCAACAGATATATGTATATATATATGTATATATACATATATATATATATATATGTATATATATATGTATATATATATATATATATGTATATATATATGTGCGTGTATATATATGTGCGTGTATAATGATATTTGGAACTTTATTCGTCCCATATTTGGGAAATTCAAATCTGCTGTAAACAGACTGCCCCTGGTGGCCGCCAAGCATGTAGTTCTTCTGGGAATCGTACCTAGGACACTCTGCTCTCTGCTTCCAAGGCAGCTGTGCTAAGTGCTACACTATGGAACCGAGCTTAAAAAAAAAAAAAAAAGTGATTCTTTGCACCAACACAGACTGCCACAAGAGGCGCCATTAAGTATGTGGTTCCTCCAAGTCTCGAACTCAGGACCTTTTCTATGTAAGGCAGGCATTACAATCGCTATAAAATAGGACCACCCATATATATACATATATATTTATAATTCTATGTATATATTCATATATATATATATATATAAATGTATGTTTATATTTGTATATACACATATTTTTTTTTTTTCTTCTGAAAGAATTCAAAAAGATTAAAGGAAAGAGCAAACTCTCAGAAGCCCATCCATTTGCAGCCCGTCCATTAAATGTCAATATCTTATTAAAAGTCTGAAAAAAGGAAATCAACCATCACAGCGAGTGGAATGTTCACATTAGTGCACAGCCCCAGAGAGATGGCCCATTACAGGGTTTTGATAAAATGTAATTTTCTTTCTTCTTCCTTTTTTTTGTGACCTTGTGATTCCATTAGGCAGTGTATCTCTCCATGACTCAGTCTCTCTCTCTCTCTCTCTCTCTCTCTCTCTGTCTCCCCCTTCCTCCCTCCCTCCACTTCTCCCACACTATTTCCCTCTCTTTTCCTTCTCCCCCACTCCTCGTCATCAACTTCTAAAAAACTCGAACACCCAGTGCCCATGTGGACTGTAACAATGTAGAAAAGAGAGGCTTTTCTCTGATACAATTTCACCTCATCCGCGCTCTTTGTTGCAGGAATAACAAAACACTTGTAGGAGGGCAAACCAAAGAGTGTCGGTGCCGAGTTATATTTATGCCCACACCTCATATTGATCAAGTCACATCAAAGGGCCAACACATCTCTAATGCAGCTTGGCCTGTTTTCTAAAGAGCCTTCCCCACTTTGATGGTGGATCATGGTATTGATAGCATTGTCACAATGCAAGAGTGCATTTTTATTCTCCCACATCGCTGCAGAATAAAGCATGCCATGCCGTTCTGTTGGGAGTAAAAAAAAAAAAAAAAAAATTTCATTTACATAAATGCAATTCACTAAGTACATTTTCTATTCATCCGCCCGGAAAGACGCTAGTTCTCATTAGCACTCGCCGAGTTGCCGCGCTCGTTCATTGTAAGAAGACTCAATGGGCTTTTCAAAGTTGCCTCTCATGATTAGATGCTACCTACTTAGAGGTGTGCTGGCCAGGCTTTTGTGGGAAATGAATAACTTACTCATGTTGATAATCAATGATGAGATTTGTCTTTGTGTAAAAAAAAAACTTAAAAAAAGAAAAGCTGACGGTGATGAAAGCCTGACGGCCACATAAATATGATGCTTTTAAAAGAGCGTTGACAAAAGTCTGTTTTGGACGTTTGAAAAGACGGACAACTTTATTCCAAGTCCATCAGTTATTCCAGCCTTTCATCACCTCCTACAGCTCTCATTCATTTTTTTTAATTTTTTTTTCAGCCTTTCATCACCTCCTACAGCTCTCTCATTTTTTTTTTTTTTCCCCCCAGAAAAGCGACGAAGGAACATGGAGCTGATTCCTCTGACAGCACGGATGATCATGACCCACCTGGTGAACCATCTGGGCCACCATCCGCTGAGCGGCGGCCCCGCCCTCCTCTACAGCTTAGTGAGCGAGAACCACGACAACCCGTATGTGGAGTCTTCTGAACTGTCCTCCGAGGTCTTCAAAAGTCCCAACCTGCAGCTGTTTGTCTTCAACGACAGCATGCTGGTGTCGTACCTGCAGATCCCCGCCGAGACGCCCGCGGTCGGCCAGCCCGCCTGCCCTCTGTCCCAACTGCGAGTCATTGTCAGAGACATCTCGGGCAAATACACGTGGGACGGCACGATTCTTTACTGCACCGGACAGGAGGAGGCTGACGACGCCGGAGTTTTTGACACGGTCGACCAACTTCTTTCCAACGCCGGACACCGCCGCTGTTCTCCAACCAGGCTCCCGCACATGAAGAAACGATTCTCATTTTCAGACTCCGACTGTGAAGAAGAAGAGGTCGACGTTCTTGACAGACTACTGGACGACCTCGGTCACAGCAGCCCAGAATGTTTGCCTCAACAGCAGCTGAGGGTCAACCAGCCCGCGCCCTCGCCCCACGGCATGAACTTTGAGCAGGAGAGCGCCATCGTGGAGGCGATTCTACGGCAGGGGCAGCAGGGGAGGAGGAGGGGGGGGGCTGATGTGAGTTTTCAGGCCGCCTGCCAGAAGGAACCCTCTGCCCAGGAACTCAAGTCTCCTTTCTACTACTGCCGTCTACTGCTTAACGACCTCGGAATGAACTCTTGGGACCGCAGGTAGCCACGCCGCGTAAAACGTTTTTCCTTATATCAACTATGATTTAATTTTCAATAGCGGTGTGTTTGGCAAGGATCTGGCGATACGATACGTATCAGGATACAGGGGCAACAATACGATATATTGTGATATATTGCGATACTATAGGCGCAACAATATATTGAGTTTTCTTTCCCCCCAGTGTAGCTGTAGTCATCTGGGAATGACATACTCTGATTGTCACCCCACAAATCCCAAGAAAAGTAATTTTTCGCCACATTTTTTAAATGTTCATTAGATTAAATTTTCTGTTCTGGTGGAGATAAATATATATATATACTGTATATATATATATATGACAACTATATGAAACCAAAACTACAACATTGTGGTTTTGTATTTGCAAGAATCTGGTGATACGACACGTATCGCGAAACAGAAGCAACGAGACAATATATTGCGATACTATAGACACGACAATATATTTTGTATATTTTTCCCCCCCAATGTAACTGTAGTCACTCTGAAGAGCTCATCTGGGAATGATCTGATATCCACCCCACAAATCCCAAGAAAAGTATTTTTTCGCCACATTTTTTAAATGTTCATTAGACGAAATTTTCTGTTCTGGTGAAGATAAAATATATATATATATACAGTATATATATATATATATATATATATATATGACAACTATATAAAACCAAAACTATAACATTGTGGTTCTGTATTTGCAAGAATCTGGCGATACGACATGTATTGCGATACAGAAGCAACAAGACAATATATTGCGATGTATTGCGATACTATAGTCACGACAATATATTGAGTTTATTTCCCTCCAGTGACTCTGTTCCATCTGAACATCAGTTCCTAACTCTGGAACAGAGGGATCTACATTTGGAATCACTAGAGAAGAAAGAAAAGTATTTTTTTGGAAAAACACATGGAAACCAACTAGTGGTCAGAGGTTTAATTGCAACACCGACGTCATGAATATTTGTTAATATTAGTTAATTTTAAAAGTAAAAGTTGATATCGTGAAACAACACATCGCGATCTTATGATGTATCGATATTTTCTTACTCCCCCGATTCTAATTCATATAATTGTACGTCTGTTCAATCAGCAGAAGAACAGCTGTAAAATAACTACCTGCTGCAGTTTTTTTATTTTTTTATTTATTTTTTTAAAATCTGTTCATTTCATTTTCAGTTCAGGACTATTCAGGTTTTTTTTTTTTTTTTTTTTTTTTGTGTCTGAAAGGGGGAAAGAGCAAAGATAAAAGCACACTGCAGTGTCTTAATCTCCTCTCCACAGGTCAGAAGTGTCCAGCTGCTTTCACCAAAGTCCACTTTACTGAGCTGCGTCTACGCAGTGCTTCTTGTAAATTAAAAGGTGACACCTCTTAATGGTGATGGTGCAAAATACACTCAGCTGGTAGCAGATTGCTGTTTGCACCTGCGCCCTATTTTTCCGTTGGTGATCATGAGGGCACAGCAAAGCCACATTGAAAAAAAAAAAAATTAAATTAATCACTTTCCATTTAAATGTCACATCTAACAAAGGCTTTTCAAACAGGAAAAGTTTCCACCTGCTGAAGAAAAACCCAAAGCTGCTGCGAGAGCTGAAGAATTTGGATTCCAGGCAGTGGTAAGAAACTTTTCAGTTTGTTGATCTGATGAGGCGTTCACACCAGATACGGTAGACGCAAATTAAGTGTCATCACGTGACTTGAATAAATTTGGAAAAATGTAACTTTTTAGACGTCATCATGCCAGAAATCCAATCAGCGTCAATTTTATCCCGACGTCACCTACCATGAAGTTAAGCAGAGAAGTTTGCGGACAATGGCAGAAATGCCTCTTATCGCCATGTGTGGGCGCCAACACCACTGCTCAGTTTTATCAGGACAGGAATGAAGAGAGCCTTGCGCTAAAGTTAGCCAGTAGCCTGATAGCCTAGCGATTAGCGCAAAGCAGAGAGTCCTGGATTTTGGTTCCCAGAGGAACCACATACTCGGCGCCTCCAGGGGGCAGCATGTTGCAGCAGGTCTTCTGTAAACACAATAATTTCCCAAATATGGGATCATTAAAGTTCAAATTATATTATTATTTCTATTGTTATTTAACTGCATTACCGACTGTTGCTTTATCTGTGACAACTGAGAATGAAGCGTTGGTCCAAAAATGTTTTTTGGCGTCTATCACGTATGGTGTGAACACAGCGTTAATGTTGTATTTTCACAGGTTAGCTTCTTATTGTACCTCCAAATTATTCTCAATGGGGGGGGGTCAAACTCATTTTGGTTCACGGGCCACATACATCCTAATCAGATGTCAAGTGGGCCGGACCAGTACAGTCATAACGTAATTACCAATAAATAAACAACAAGTCCATGTTTTTTACCTTTGGTTTCATGCATCAGGGAGTTCACAGATGATGATGAAATGTCCTGAACATGAAGTGTTTCGTGTATTTTTTTTTATTTTCAAAATTCATCAAGCAGGCCGAATTGAACACCCTAGAGGGCCGGTTTTGGCCCACGGGCCATATGTTTGACACCACCGTTCTAGCGGTAAATAGTAACACATTCTGCAGACACAGTTCTGTGTCTCATCATAGATCCAGTCAATGCGTTTCACATCTGGTTAAGAAATTACAACTGTCCAAAATTTAAAGGACTTCTAATTGGACCTCAACCAACGTAGGGGATCAACAATGTACTTGTTTGATTGATAATGTCCACAACAAAATGTACTGTACTCTTTGTGTTCTTAATGACTGACTAATATATATATTTTTTTTTTTGTAGTCGAGAGACGCACAAAATTGCTGTGTTCTACATTGAAGAAGGACAAGAAGACAAATGCTCCATCTTGTCCAATAACGCCGGCAGCAAGGCCTACGAAGACTTTGTGTCGGGACTAGGATGGGAGGTACGGGCGAGTGAGCGTTGGTTTCACCAACACACCTAAACGTGACACACGTGACAGGAACCGAAAAGAACTTTCCTTGTACTGTTCCTCCTCAGGTGGATCTATCTACTCACTGTGGTTTCATGGGAGGCCTTCAGAGGAACGGCAGCACCGGTCTCACTGCCCCCTACTACGCTACCTCTACCGTGGAAGCCATCTTCCACGTCTCCACACGGATGCCGTCGGATTCCGACGACTGCCTCACTAAAAAGGTACAATTTTATGTTGGTGATTTTCTGTTTTTAAACCCATCGACCTGGGTCTCCTCTGGGCCAGGGGTGTCAAACTTTGGTCCACGGGCCGCATACAACCTGATTAGAAGTGGGCCGGACCAGTCGAGCCGTACCATAATAAATCATAGATGACAATAATCCATGTTTTTGCCGTTTGTTTTCATTCAAATAAGTACAAGTATTTGAAATATTTATTATAACGTATTCATATTTAATACAAACTATATCCTGAACATGAAGTCTTTGTGTTTTTTTTTTGTTTTTTTTTCAAAATTCATCATGTGGACCAGGTTGAATACCCTAGCAGACCGGTTTTGGTCCGCAGGCCGTATGTTTGACACCTGTGGCTGTCTCACTAATGAGTGTTTAAGACCTTGAGGTAATGGTAAAATATCAAAAAAAACATTTTTAATTATCCGTATTTTTCCTGACATTTCTTTTCTGAAATGAAAGAGGATTTGATAGATTCTTAAACGACAGTCCAGGTTGTGATTTCCTCCAAAACAATTTCTCCACAGTTTTATAAAAAAAAAGGCTCCACTGAAAAAAAATCCCTGTGTTTAAATCCAAAATGGAGGATTTATAATTGACATAATTAAAGATTTCCTCAGATAGAACTTCTGACTTCTGACTTTTTAGGCTTGTTTTTATTCCTCAACTTTAATTGAGGTTTTCAGAACAAAAACAATAACAATCCCTTCTTTTGTTTGTAAAATTTAGTTTTCGTTTATTTTTTTTTGATGGACAAACAGAGGCTCAAGTGAATTAAACACTTTCAGAACATATTTTGTGTTCTCTCAGGAAGTATTCTCCATCATGGAAATGGAAGCCTGTGGTAATTACACTGCTCTAATCCAGATAGTGTGAACTAAACAATGCTGTGCCAGTGAGACGCAGTGAAATGGCTACACAGCCCCCTTTTTTTTTTGTGCCCGTAGCAGTATGTTGTCGTAGCCTTCAGTTCTGTGTTAAGCTGTGATCAGGAGGTGTGACTCCAGAATGCAGGCATTGATTAGTGACCCTGGCCAGGCAGGCCCGAAGAGTACAGAGCAAAAGGCGCATGAGCGGAGAGAGGGCATGTGCCGCTGCGGTAATGACTGTGATTCAGCTAGCCCCTGCCCCCCTCCCTGTGTGCTGTGACCAGGGCCTGGAATCAGCCATTAGCTCTCCCTGCTTGGGCAGGCGCCGGCCGGATGCCAGCAGGAGCCTTTTATCCAATCCCTGCTGCCGCCACAGGAGCGATCGATTGGGTTCTGCCGCGGGATTCTGAGCCGCCGCGCTGCAGTAGCAGTTAGCACGAAGAAATGAGCCACGATGCCCCTGCCCGGGCTGCCAGTCTTCTCATACAGTAACCTGCTGAGAAGGGAAATTAATCAGTCTCTTCTCATATCCAACCCCTCTCAGTCCCCCACAGACTTAACACCCTCTCGTTTCTGTAAATAACCCCCTGCCCGTCCTCCACCCGTCCTCGACCTGTGTTTAGAGACGGCAGAAATTAGCAACACTGAGGGGAAAGAGAAAAAAAGAAAATGTAACTTTGCCTGGCCAGAGTGTGGCGCTGGTGGGGCCGCCGTGCCCAGTGTGGAGCGGAGTGTGCTACCGCTTCACCTCTGTTCATTTCTCTCTGGAACTTCGGTAATTGCTCATGCTCACCTTGCCCAGTTCTCAGAGCCAACCACAGGCGCCGCAGAAATTGGCAGTCTGGCCGCACGAACAGATGCTTCGCACAAAAAAAAACCAAAAAAAAAAAAAACCAGGAGGGCAGGTGGGGCAGAGGGTGAGGGTAGGAGAGGTACATGGAATTGGGATGAGACACTGGCTTTGTCTGTCTTCAAGAAGGATGTTTCCCTATCAATTCAGAAATAACACTTTGAGTCCAATAGTCGCCCACTTTACTTGCCCCTAACCCCGGAGGCCTACGGTGAGTGAGCTCTCAGCAGGTGGATTGACTGTTTACAAAATGATGGAGGTTGGAAGAAAACAAAAAAAAAAAAAAGGAAGGAAGGAAAGAAAGACAAAAACAAAAAAAAACAAAAAAAAGCCAGAACAATGAATTCCTCAATCTGATTGTGGGTATTTTCACAGAGCAGCCGTGTTAGCCGTAGCAGCTGGCTTCAGTAACGTGGTTATGGGAATGACCTCCAGGGGGATAAGGTCAGGCCTAGTGTGGGTGTGGGGGGGGGTACCTTATTAAGACCTGTTTTGGTGGTCTTCCTGAGACATGTAGTCCATTTGAGGACCATATCCTGGTCTCATTTCAGTCTCATTTCTCAGGTTTTCTTAAAAGATGTGACTCATGTTCAAGGCTCGACTGTGATTGGTCAGAGTTGAGGAGAAACGTCTGGTGAGGTTGTACCGCAAATCCCAAATAAAAGGAAAATATCGATACACTGAAATATTGAGATATTTTGTTTAGTGATGCCATATCAATATTCTACAGCATACGTGTCAAACTCAAGGCCCGGGGGCCAAATGCGGCCCTAGTGCGGAACTAGTGAAGTCCATGCAATAGAGTTTCTTAACCTGTGAAATTAAACGTTTTTTTTATAATCAATCAAATAATAATCAATCGCAGAAACATGTTTTAGTCTGTTATGAAGTAAATTAGTAAAAATTAAGTATGTTTTTTTTCACTGTGGCCCCCTACCAAATGACCTATGGACTGGTACCGGTCCGCGGACCAGGGGTTGGGGACCCCTGAACTATACAGTCTCCCACTTACAACCGGCCATTCAAGGGGGAACTGTGTTGCTAATGTGGCCCCCTGGTGGAAATGAATTTGACCCCCTGTCACAGCATTGTATACATTTTTTACATTTTTTTTAACATACAACTGTTCACGACGTTGGTTCATTTTTCTGCTGCATTTACACCTCTGACCACTAGTTGACAATCCAAAAACGCATATGCTTTTATATCTGCTATGCTAATGCTAAATGCTATTATGTTAGTAACCTGATGCTAAGATGGAACAGCCGTTGTGTGTTTACTATGATGACACGCTGACTACAATTAAATTGTTTAAAAAAAAAAAACTCACTATATTTCCGTGCCTATAGCATCGCAATATATCGTAATATATTGTATTGTTTTGCCAATACACACCCCTACCAAATTCTCTCACTTCCTCCTTTTTGTCCTTAATAGAAAGGGAGAGAAAGAGAGAGAGTGGCAGATAGACGGGTGAGTTGTAGTTGTCACACTCACCCCCAGGGCGCTGCAGCTTAACTGCGCCGCCGCCGCCGCCGCCGCTGCTGCTGCTGGTTGTCTTTACAAGGAGCCTCTTGTGTTCTGGGGACCTCTGGTTTGCCGTCTCTGTGTCTGAAGCTGCCCGTCTGGGTGGGAGGTCAAAAAGGGCTAATTGGACAAGAGCCTTTGACTGGAATCACATTTTATTGAAGAAGTCTCAAACATTTGAATGTGATTAAGCAGGGAATAAATAGAGAGGTGCACAGGATGATTGACTCCGGCGTAAGCATCCTCATTAAACTTGTGCTCATTCTGCTCATCCAAATGCTAATGTATTGACCCAAATTAACATTCCGTCTTGATTGTTTACCGCAAATGCATATTCAACATTTTCCCTGAAATTGTCCCAGTGACTGACCTGTTTGGTACCTGCTGATCCCTGGACAGACAGCCTGAACTGGCAGGCTCCGGTAATCAGCATGCCGTGGATTTGTTTAAGATTAGCGTATTACCATAATTAAGGGCTTATAATAGAATGTGCTAATTGCATTTTTGGTGGCGAGGGCATGTTTCTTAATAGCTCATTAGGCCCACAGTACATTGGCAGATGTTTTCTTCTGAGTAGAGGGCTCACTTCTCTTTGTCCAACGATACCCCAGGAAGGGAGCGTACGGCCCGATCCCCGCACCAACGTGACTGGATAATATGTTGTCCCCGTTTGCCGGGGAATATAGTGGATTAGTTTCCGTCTGTTTTACATCGGAAAAAAGAGAAAAAGCTGTTTACCTATTTCAGACCAGCATCAGTCAATTTCCTGTCATTAAGGCGTGCCTTCTCGTCTCGACTACTTTCATCTGTGATTTGTGTAGAGACTGGAAATGGGAAACGTTTTCGTCCGTGATGGAGAAAGTTAATTTGACTTTCAGTTATTTGTTTTTTCAAAATGTTGCAATTTTGTACACGTCATGTTTGCAATTTGAATTTGTAATTAAAGAAAAAAAAAAAAAACTTAAAACAGGTTCTCTGTATGACGAACTTGCTGCTGCGTTTATTTGTTTGTTTGATTTGTTTCGTTTTTTTATGCGCACAGTTTATAGCATTACATAAAATAGTTGTTTTCAACAAATGGTTTACAGCCCAAACATTGGTCACTCGTTGGTTTTCAGTGGGTCGCGGGGAGGGATGTAACGATACCAGACGATATGATCAGCGATTTTTTTTTTTGTTTTTTTTTATTCACAATATGATTTTATCAAGTTTTTTTTTTTTTCAAACAAATTAAGCTCCAGACAAATTCTAACCAAATGGTTATTTATTTGTAAAAACTAAGCAAAATACCAACTAAATTGAATTTTTTGTACCTCGTAAACTGAAATTGTCATCAAAAATTACAGAATACAAAAATGTTTCTGTGGAACAAGTTCTTCCCATGTTCTGTTTCAACACCTGAACGTCACTCAGCCTACGTAGGCACCTGACGTTTGGGTTTAAAAGTGGGTCGCAACCAACGTTTTTCGGCAAATACCGCCACCTACTGTACTAGAGTGTGTAGTGTCATGGTATGCCCAGTGACTCCTTGAGATAACGCAGTCTACTCCTTAGGCCTTAACGTACGATTCATTTTTTTATTTCATCCGATGTGAATTGTCACGTATTTGTATCGATTCAGCAAGTTTTCACCATGGCTAAAAAAAAAAATGTTGACGAAACATGTTTTTGTCTCTTCGACAGCTGCGTCACCTGGGAAATGATGAAGTGCACATAGTGTGGTCGGAGCACACGAGGGACTATCGGCGCGGCATCATCCCGACTGACTTCGGGGACGTCCTGATTGTCATCTACCCGATGAAGAACCACATGTATTTCATCCAGATCATGAAGAAGCCGCAGGTAAATCACTGCACTCAACTGAACAATTTTAGGAGAGAACATGGTTGGCAAAACACAGAGGAAGCGGGAGAGTAATTTTGTTTATCATACTGCTTGTACTCTCCCGATACACAACTTGCTTTTAACTTGTGTAATTTTCCATGCACAAAAAGCAGGAAAACCACAGAGAGGCTATTTTCAGCCTCGCACTACTTTCCCGTCTCTGTTCACGAGTTAATGCAGTCCCTGGTGCTTCTTTTTCCTCCTGTTGTGGTTTCTCTCTGAAGGCTTCTACTCGAGCGGTGCATTATTACCCACACTGTGGGTATGTGCTCTCAGGGATGGTTACGAGCCTTTCGCGGCTGTCTTTCATCTCGGATACCTTTTAGTGCAGTGTCTATTTATTCAGGATTTGTAGTTAGAGTTATCCATGTTCGGTGGCCCGACATGTTTATCCAGAAAGGTTATTATTGGTAATTGTTTACTAATATTCTTTACTAACATTTTTATTCTCATATTTTTCTCCATGAGCGACGTTTGTGTCGTCGCTCACGGAGATTATCTGTTGTCAAAGTGACTCCTTCCTCTTAACAGACCAAGCTCTGAAACGTCAGAAACCTTTGTGTCTCAGCTTGGCTTTATTAGTACAGTGAAAGCTTAGGTTCCAAGGGCGCCCCCGGAGGATTTCTGAGTCCTCTGGAGACACTGCTGTAGTGTTGTCATGCTGCCTCTCCTGTTTGCTAATCACTGACTCTCTCTTTTTTTTTTCCACCTGCTCTGCAGTGTTTTCTTTCTATTTACTGAGTACGTTAAAAAAATACAAAATAAAAAAGAACGACTGATATTTTAAATTAAAACTTAGACATTTTAGAAATCAAACATGTTAATTCATACACTGCTGGTTTAAATGTTTGAAAAAGAAGGAAAGAGTTCAGTCATTTTAATTTTTTATTTTTTTTACCAGATTGTCTCCAGGCTACAATTCAGTTTCAACAAACATGAATGTCAGTTAAAAAAAGCCACATTATCATCGAGTCCTTCTTTGGTCGAAGGTGAAATTCACAATTTTTAAATTATTATATCTTAAAAGCTTTCTTTCTCTAAAGAAAAAAAAGTAATTTAAATCCTAACAATTTCCAGAAAAATGTGCTTAAAGGTGAGTGAGATGTTTTTCCAAAATAATTTTTTTTTTTTAAATTTTGCGAATATCCTTTTTGCCGATTTTGTCCAAACGTTTAATTTTCCCATTCCGATATAAGCAGCTTTTTTCCCCAAAAACTTTGGTCAACGTCTCAGTTTCCCACATGGGATTCCAGCATATTTGATATTCACACTTTGATGCTCAATATTGGGTCGACGATATCGGTCGGCCGACATCATCGGACATCCCCAGTCATTATCAAACTGTATTTTTAAGCTTACGTTTTCAGTGATTGTTTCAACTGCACACCGTGACTCTTCCAAACACTAGACCCATGATGTCACAGCTTTAAAGAATATTATATAATATAATATACTGATTATTTCGACAAAGTTGAAATGCGAACTCTGGTATGAAGTTCTCCACTCAGGTTTGTGATGGATGTTAGTTTTACGGCAGGTGAGTTGGTACATTAATGTGTGTCGCTCTTGTTCGCTCTTCACACTCTGCTGAACGCCCAAGTTGAAAACAGCAGGACCTTTTGGGGGAGACTTTGACATTCACGTCAACTTCCAGGTCAACAACCATTGAGCCAGGTCACCAACCATTGAGCTCCAGTGATTAAGGCCCCCCCACCCCCCCCCCACCCCACCTCAATATGCATGAACAGACGCGTGTAGCCACACACACTCGCACGCCGTCCCTAAAATAGATATGGGCCCTTTGTGTTTGTTCACTGGCTCAATATGAGGGCATTGTTTAGTATTGATTGTCATTTTAATTTCATTTACCTAACATTGATTCTCATTAGATATGTACGCTTGTCATGCAAAGTTAGGTGAAATCCAATTTCAACTTGAACCTTGCCCCAAACAGATGGAGAAACGGTCGGAATAGGAACAAAAAAAAAAAAAAAAAAACATTTTAAACACAGTTTCCTGTTTTTATCTCCTGCCCAAAAAGGTGGTGGTGAGGGGGGCGGGCGATTCTGACCAAATTCTTCTTCTCTTAATTACCTCAGGTTCCTTTCTTCGGTCCATTGTTTAACGGCGCCATCATCAGCGGGACGTTGCTGCCAAGCCTGGTGCGGGCCACCTGTATCAACGCCAGCAGAGCTGTCAAATCCCGTCTGACTCTCTACCAGAGCTTGTATCCTTTCCTCCTCTGTTCACTCCTCACCGTCCCAGCGGCGCAACAATTTGAAACGATTAGCCATTTATTACTAGCCGTACAGCGCGAGGACGTTAATGTTACGAGCGTGTTTTTTTTTTTTTTTTTTTTTTTATGATGATGCACGACATCAGCAGCACAGATTTAAATCATCCGCCGCGGTAAAATTCACTGAGACATGTGGCGCGGTTGTCACGTCAGCCAACGTACGCAGCTGAACGCTGACACTGATTTTTATGGGCCCGGCTGATTTACATACAGCTATTAGGGCCGGTTCTGTTTCACAGCCCACAGCAGTATGGACGTCTTTGTGAGGCTGTTCTGGGGGAGAAGAACAGATAAGGCGTCATCATCTATCACTAGCGGGTTTTTTTTTTTTGTTTTTTTTTTTTGGAGCACAAGGAGAACCGAAATAGGAGTGCCATTAGCAAATGTGTACAAGTGCATACACACACACACACACACACTCCATGCCTCCTCCAATCGTGTGCTGTTCCGAGCCTGACTCCAGCTGTAGTTGTCAGTTGGTTTAAAGGCAGTGTAATCACCAATGGAGATGAATTAGCATGTGAATACCAACAGCTCACAGTCGTGGGGTAAGACGGGGGAGGCAGAGTCAGGATGGGCCCTGGAGGGGGAAACCTGATCTCCCCTTACGCTCCACTCCTTGCACAGCATGTACAGCACCTCCTCACCAGAAGCATGCTGCCCCCTTTGGCGGTTGCTGCTTTAAAACCCCCCCCCCCCCCCCCCCCCCCCCCCCCCCAAAAAAAAAAAAAAAAAAAGCAGCTTTATCTGGATGTAAGACAACAACATCTAATAGTTTAAAGGTAAAGTATGTAGAAATGTTGATAGATGTTGGTAAACACAGGGCATGCAGCCGTCTACCTATCCTCTCCTTCAGATGGCGCTGCAAAAAATATTATTTTAAATGTACAGTTTTTTTTTTTAAATGACTCTGAAGTGGCAGTTATTTACAGCTGCACAGACCAAAGTCACGCTATAGCAACGGGTGTCCTGATCTGTTAGCCGTTCGCTACTGACAAGATCGCAAAAATACCAGATATGGCCTGTTGTCAGGCAAAAAAACACAATTAAATTTGAAGTTTGGAAATCAACAAAAAAACAATTTTATTGACTACTAAATCAGGCTAGGCTTCGAGCTGATCCCAACCCTTCCACTTATTGTTTATGAAACTGTTTTTTTTTTTTAAGTTGCATCACTGCCACCTTCTTTTTTTTTTTTTTTAAAGTTGCATCACTGCCACCTTTTGGATCTGGAGAGAAAGAAAACATATTCCCCCTTAGAAAAAACGTATTATTGCATTTTTAATTTTTTTTTTTTTTTTTTAGGCTTTTATCAAATTCAGGTATTGAACGTACTCTGTATAGGATTTCGCGTGTTGTTGATTGCATTTGGGCATGTGTAAGTATGTGTCTGCCTGTGTGTGTGTGTGTGTGTGTGTTTCACAGTGCATCACACACACACAATTCACCCCCCACCCCAATACAAGCCCTTGTCTTTGTGTGTGAGTGACAGATGTATGTTACCCAACGCCAAGTGAAATAGCCCAGTGTTACTCTGAGTGCCAGAGGGGGGCCGCCATCCACAGGCCGGGCTGCCTGGTGGGGGGGGGTGGTGGTGTTGGGGGGTGAATGGAGTGGGTGGGACAGTAGCAGGCCTGTGTTGGGCCATAGAGCAGCCTCACCTGGCATTCCATAGCAGAGCAGCAGACAGCACAGAGGCGTGATCTACGAGAGCAGATAAGCACTGCCTCTGGAGTTCTGGCACCGACGGGTTGCCAGTTCTGGTGCACTCCAAGAAGGGAAGATAAATAAATGTGCCAGGCCGAGCCTGTTGCCAACATAAGTACGTGTGTGTGTCTGTCAGCTGTTGTCTACCTGGCTGAAGGGGCTTCTGAGGGAAGAAGCCCAGCGACCAGTGAGCACTGGTCCATAACTGCCTCACACAGTGACAGGGACCCCCGAGAAACCAGTCTGATCGGTTCCACAGCAGCACTCGTCTGTCGATTGCATTTTCCCCATTAAAAATCACTAAAAACATATCACTAAAAATATATATGTATATATATTTATATATACATATATGTGTATATATTTGTATATATATACATATATGTATGTATATTTATATATACATACATATATATAAATATATATGTATATGTGTATATATGTGTGTATATATGCATATATATACAAATATATGTATGTATATACAAATATATGTGTGTATGTGTATATACATATGCATATATATATACATATACATATATGTGTGTATATATGTATGTGTATGTATATATGTGTATGTATATATGTATATATATATACAGTACGTATGTATACATATATGTATATATGTGCATATATGTATACATATATATACATATATGTGTTTGTATACATATTTGTATATATAAATGCATTTTTTATTTTTTTTATTTTAGTAAATACTAAAAGTTGGTGACTAGCTCGGCAGCTGCTTTGGCATCACAGTTGTTTTCCACATGTCGTACGACTTAATGAATGCCAGTCGTAACTCGATGTTTCCTCGTATCAGGAGCAAAATCTTGCAGTAGTTGCAATAGACTCGTAACGGTGGAATATTACGATATTTCGTGAAGTTCGTATCTAGCGAGTCGACAGTACTGTGTTCAAATCAAATCGAAGTTTAAAAAAAAAAAAAAAAAACATTTTGTGAAGATAGCGTCACGGACACAATGTCCTGCGATGGCATGAGGGATGAACAAAACAGCCTTGAGTGACAGGTGCAGTTACTGTTTTCATCATCAGATGTGTGTGTTGTTGTTGTTGTTTCGTGGCAGCCTTTTGCTCTTTCCCCCCCCACCGGTCATCATTCTTTCATCTTCTCAGGATATGTGGCTCTTTATCTGTCACAGGTCGGAACAATGACTTCATCTGGGATGGGGTTTTTTTTTTCTCTGTGCAAGAAAATGAAAATCCCCATCCTTACTTTACCCTTTCACAATGCCTTAAAAATCCCGTCTGCTCCCCGCCTGTGAGGCCACTCTCCAAGGTAATTAGTTGAATATTTCTTCAAAGGGAAGCTGTATGACCCCTGTGTGTCCGGATAAAAGGCCAGTATGGCACTGAGTCCCTCTCTCTCACTCTGTCGCGAGGCTCAAGAGGACTCCAGCAGTTAACTGCAATGCTCATAGGATATCTGGGATTAATAGGATTTGATATTGAAAAATGACCTCCAGCAACATAGTCAAAAAAAAAAGATTATATATATATATATATATATATTTATATGTAAATATATATATACTTTGTCTTCGTCCCCATCTGCTGTCCTCTTCTCTGTACTGTCTTCAAATCTGCCGGTGCTTTGTTTTTCTCGCACAATAAGCAGGTCCTATTGTCATTTTGGATTTGACACCGTCGAGGCCCGGTGCACGTCGCAGCCCACGAGCCTCTTACAGACTAATTCAAAATGTATCATCTATTATTTATATGCCGATAGAAAATGCAGCTGGTCTGGCTTTGTGTGTTCTTAGTGGATTGTCTTGAACTGTTCCACTCTGCACAGCTGTGGCTTGAATGACTGTGACCAGAAAGTCTTCGGTTAAGTTTTTTTTTTTTTCTTCTATATTTCGTGCCTGTCGTAATAACAGTTGTCGATAAGGCAACGTGACGATGCATCGTGAATCGGTTTAAAATTGATACAAATGTGTGACAATTTTTGTCAGTTATAAAAAATAAATGCCTTATCAATGCATTATAAGTAGGCTGAGTCACTGGTCATACCATGACACTACACGCTCCAGTACAGTAGGTGGCAGTATCTCAAAAAAGTCACTGGTCATACCTTACAGTACAGTAGGGGACCATGTCAGTTGGTGAGGTTCACAGACCGTGTCAGTTGGTGAGGTTCACAGACCGTGTCAGTTGGTGAGGTTCACAGACCGTGTCAGTTGGTGAGGTTCACAGACCGTGTCAGTTGGTGAGGTTCACAGACCGTGTCAGTCGGTGAGGCTCACAGACCATGTCAGTCGGTGAGGTTCACAGACCGTGTCAGTTGGTGAGGTTCACAGACCATGTCAGTTGATGATTTCACAGACCATGTCAGTTGATGAGGTTCACAGACCATGTCAGTTGATGATTTCACAGACCATGTCAGTTGATGAGGTTCACAGACCATGTCAGTTGTGAGGAGGTCAGTGGATTTGGTCACAGTCTGACTGGGTGGTGTCTTGAGTGGAGCGTTGATCAGGAGTGTCAGAGACCATGTCAGTTGGTGAGGTTCACAGACCATGTCAGTTGGTGAGGTTCACAGACCATGTCAGTTGGTGAGGTTCACAGACCATGTCAGTTGGTGAGGTGGTCGTGTCTTGAGTGGAGCGTTGGTCAGGAGTGTAAGAGACCATGTCAGTTGGTGAGGTTCACAGACCGTGTCAGTTGGTGAGGTGGTTGTGTCTTGAGTGGAGCGCTGATCAGGAGTCCAGGTCACCTGAACCTCAGCTCAGTCTCTCTGTGACGGAGGTTCTTTTTCTGTCACTGTGGAATAATCTCTGTTTCTGAACACATTAATGGATTTCTCTGCTAAATACACACTTGAGTTTGATGTG